TATATATATATATATTTAAATAGACAGGGTGGAGGAATCCTGAAGCTAGAGAAAATTTACCTGTCATGTATAGAGTTGATATAAAGGTTCACAAACCAGGTGAGAGAATACTGGTACATTGGATCAATGTTAGCCAGGTCTGCAATGCTAAAAAATAATACTGACGAATGTTTAGCAATGGGTCGATAGCCTTCTCGAGACTCTGCTATTTTGAGTTCTGTTTTTTCTGCAATCTAGAAGAAGAGAAAAATCAAGATTAAGAAATAGAAAATGTGTTTTAATTATATATTTTTCATACTAAGTTTATATTTAAAAAAAATACCCACCTATCTCAATGACAAAATTATGGAAGTATAGTTTACAAGAAAGGGCTTTATTATGCTAAAACCTAGAGAGAGAGAGAGAGAGAGAGAGAGAGAGAGAAAGGAAGGAAGGGAGAAAGAAAGAAAGAAATAGAGGGAGATGGAGAAAGGTAGGGAGGAAGGAAGGGAAAGGAAGCAAGGAAAGAATTACTGAGGGAGAGGACAATAAGACCAGAGGGTGGAAAGGAGGAAGGAAAAAAGAAAGAAAAATAGCTTTACAGATTAAAGGTGTGATTACTCACCAACGATTTCTCTCTTATTTGGGGAATAACAGCACTGTCAATCTTTGCTTATTCTTTGCCTGAATCTGACATGTGTCTACTCTGGACACTCACTTTCTTTTACTTTAATAGGTCAGAGATAGAAAGGGAGGGGGAGAAATAGAGAGAGCAAGCGTGCATGTGTGTATATTTAAGGAGTCAACATGTGTGCCAGGACCCAGCACAAAGTCTGACAAGTAGGTATTCAAAAATATTTGTTGGCTGATGGTTTTATACGTTAAGAAGATTTATTTTCAACTAGCTTCTGAAATGTTTAACTTTTCCAGACTTAACAAGGGTATAGATATTCAACCCCAAAAGAAAAAACTTCTCCAAGATAACAGCTCTTCAACTGACAACTGAATCTATTAGGTTAATATTCTACACCAGCGGTTCTCAACCTGTGGGTCATGACCCCTTTGGGGGTCGAACGACCCTTTCACAGGGGTTGCCTAAGACCATCGGAAAACAAAAAGATATTTACATTACGATTCATAACAGTAGCAAAATTACAGTTATAGAGCAGCAACAAAAATAATTTTATGGTTGGGGGTCACCACAACATGAGGAACTGTATTAAGGGGTCACGGCATTAGGAAGGTTGAGAACTACTGTTCTACACGAAAAATGTGTAGAGCACTTTTCCAACCCTCTCCCCCTTCTTTGGAAATGCTAGCCAGAGACTGCTGAATGAGTGTGCCTATATAGTTATGTTTACATTGAATGATTCTGTTTGTAGCTGGTTCAATCAAGTGGCAGGGATAGAACCAGGCCCAAGATAAGCTAATCAATCAATTTTACCTCCAATTTCCCACTATTTAAGAACCTCAGAAACTGAAGTTAGGTGGTACAGGGCATTAGTGCTAAAAGGTAAGGGGACCAGAGTTGATTTCCAAGTACAAAATAAATGTAGGAAGAAACAGATACAAAACTTTTACAGAAGAAATTGGTCTTCAAATGGAGTAGAGAGGAGGGCCACACAACCTTAGATAGAGATGGAGAGACAAAGAGCATAGAACCTTAATTTATTAAGCTTTCCATTATTCTTGAGGCTTGTGTGTACTTCCTATGATTGGGAAAACTGTATCTTTTTTATTTGGGCTAATTTGAATGGGTTTATGTTCCCTGCAAACAACTCTCCCCCAAAATATACAGTATAACCACAACTAAAAGTAAATTTTGAACCTCAATCTTGACTATAAGTAAGTCAAACAAAGTTATCAACAATGGAAATTAATGACACTTTATGTATGAAAGCATTATCTTAGTATTCCCATTTAAACCTCCTGTTATTTAAACCTTAGTTTTTCAGCTCAAATGCCATTTGCTATTAATGGCAATAGCAAGTAAAAATAATCAGCAAATATTGTTATTATTTTTAAACAGTAAATAATTTAACTCAGGTTCCATAGCTTTATTTACAGTGTATTTATAAATAGTGTTTACTAAACTTGGCTCTGTATATGAAATGCTCGACTCAAGAAATAGAAATATATTTTTGATTCATTACCATTCGTAGCCTAAAATCAAAGACTAAGACATTTTTAAAGAAATAAACATTGTGGGTATATGATGTTAAGAGATTTCATTATTTGTAAAAATTTCCTGTGCTGTGATATTTATATATAATATATTTTCCAGGAATCAAAAAGATTAAACTTCAGCCAAGAAAATTTTGGAGGAAGGGGAGGCTTTGAAACCCACAGAACAAATTCTTACAGTTTTGTTTGTGCTTGTTTATTCTTATAGGTTGGAGTAAATGGGAAAAGCAGGGGGGAAACTATGTGGGGGAACTGTTCTCTGAAGACAGGTATTTTTACATTGGGTTGGTAGAATAGAAGTCAGGGCCAGATACAGAGCATATTTTGGATCAGAATATATAATGAATTTGCTGATTTGATTCCCACATGAAATGGTAAGCTGTGCCCCCTCCCCACCAACCTCTCACCCCTACCCCACCCCCTGCAACTAAGATTGAACATGGCACCTTGAGCTGAGCAGCCGCTCAACTGGTGAGAGCGTGTGCTCTTAACAACAAGGTTGCCAGTTCAACTCCCTCATGGGATGATGGACTGCGCTTCCCCTTGCCCCCCCNTATGTGAATTTCCTGGTTGTGATATGCACTACAGTTACACAAGATGTTACCATTGGAGAAATAAGGTGAAAGCACATGGAACCTCCCTGTACAATTTGTGTGTGTGTGTGTGTGTGTGTGTGTGTGTGTGTGCGCAATTTCTTGTGAATCTGTATGTAAAAAACAGTACAATTCTGTGAGAAAATGAAACATGGTTTACACCATCTTCTTATTTTCAAAATTCTAAATTCCATATTTTACTCCAAAATGAAAACAACCAACTAATTAAAAAATACCTATTGAGCCTCTATTAGTGTGAGGATGTATGCTGGGGAGGGAACTGTATAAGACAAAGAATTATGAAACATTTACATGCCCCAAAGAAGCCTAAAATCTAGATCAAGATCTATACATTTAAAAAAAAACATATGAAAAGTCAAAAAACATACAGACAAAAGTGGTTACTTCTGGATGGGGTTATAACTGATATTTTCTTCTTTGTACTCTTATGTGTTTAAAATTTTTGTAATAAGCATATATTGCTTTCTTTTTTTTAGTTCAGTTTTTTTTTTTTGGTAATACTTATGGGAATATAGGGTGATGCACCCATTCTGGAAAAGTTTATGTTTATAGCAGTTTAATTTGTAACATCTCAAAACTGGAAATGACCCAGATGTCCTTCAACAGGTAAATGATTAAACAATGTCAAGAAATATTTCTCACAATAAAAAGGAGGAAACCATTGATACATATAACAACCTGAATGAATCACCAGAGAATTAGGTTGGGTGAAGAAAGCCAATCCCCAAAAGTTACATACTGTATAATTCCATTTATATAAGATTCTTGAAATGACAAAATTACAGAAATGGAGACAGATTAGTGGTTGCCAAGAATTAAGGAGAGAGTGGGGATGGGAGGGAAGTGGGTATGGCTATTAAAAAAAAGGGGGGGCAACATGGGAATCCTTGTTGTGATAGAAGTGTCATGTATCTTGATTGTATCAACATCAATATCCTGGTTGTGATATGTACTATAGGTTTTCAATGTGTCGCCACTGGGAAAACTGGGTAAAGTGTACACAGGGTCACTGTACTATTTCTTACAGTTGCATGTGAATCTACATTTATCTCAAAATTAATTTATCTCAAAATTAATTTATCTCAAAATCCTGTAAAAAAAAAATTACAGGATTTACTTTGGGAGTCAAACTAATGGTTTGTGTGCTTAAAAAATATAATGAAAATCAACAAGAATGAGGGAAAACTATAAAATAAATATAAACAAATGAACCTAACTGTATTTCACATGAATGATATCACCATATTGAAGAGGGAAAAACTAAGCCAAGTAACTTTTGAATACAGTTTTTTTGTGTCTAAAAACAAAAACATTATAAGTTTCTGAGTGCACATAAGAATTAAATTCTCTTCAGTATCTACCCAAGAGTTACTGGATTTGTTGGAATTAGTGGATCGTATGGTAAATCTATGATTAATATTTTGAGAAACTTCCAAAATGTTTCCAAAGTGAAAATGCTATTTTACAATCCCACCAGCAGTGTATAAATGCTCTGATGACTCCACACTCTGATACTTGTTATTGACAAGTATGTCAATTCCTCAACTTGAATATCTTCCATTGTGTGGATTGTATAAATTCAAATTCCAATTTCCATCTGGGAAAGCTTAGAAATTTCAATCACTCAGGAGATTGTTCTACCAAGAACCCATGTAGAACATATATGGTAGGTTCAAATCATGTTTTTATTCTGTTTAACAAGTACAGTAGTTACTAAATACCAGATACGTTATAAATGATTTACAAATATTAACTTTTTAAAATTCTCATAACAACTTTAAAAGGTAGGTACTATTATTATTCCTGTTTTATAGATAAGAAAAATTGAGGCAATTACAGAGAGTTTAACTGACTTGCCTACATTCATTCAGGTGGTATATGGCAGAACTGAGATTTAATCCCTTACTCCAGTCTGATTCCAAATCTGTGTACATTCATTAATTAATTAAAGTGAATACATCTTGCAAATGAGTAGAAATGTAGGACTGAAGCTTTTTACAGACCACAGAATGAAGAAAGATATACTGGAGTTGCCAGCAAAGATAAGTCATGTGCCTTATTGAAATATCTAAGAGAGAGGAAAAAAGGACTGAAGCTAATCCCTTTTATGTGTAAATCTTGAGTAAAAGTAAAACAAAACTTAAAACAGGAAAGCTCTTTCTTTTTTTTTCTTTCTTTCACTTTTCCATATTTTTAAATGTTCTGTAATGAGTATTACATATTACATATTATATATGAATATTACATATTATATAGGTAAAATATATATTATATAGGTATATATATATATATATATATATATATATATATATATATTTAAGATTTTATTGGGGAATTGGGGGA